CACCTCTGGCTCTGCCTTTGTGGCAGCTCTCCCTTCCCTCATTCACCAACTTCCTTCCACAGGTTCTCGTGCTCTCTGTCCCCAGGCCGCAACTTCCACAGGTTCTTTGTGTTCTCTGACCCCAGGCTGCAACTTCCTCAGGTTCTTGGAGTTTTCTGTTCCATGCAGTAACTTCCACGGATCCATCGGGCACTCTGTCCCAAGGCAGCAACTTCTTCTAATCAACACACCATGCGACCAACTTACTCATGCCAACAAGCTTCACCTGGCAAGGGCGGGAATCGAACTCATGACCATGTGCACCGTAGGCCGATGCTTTAACCACTTGGCTACCTGGAAGGGCTACTTTAACAGGGGTTCTAGGGTGTGTATTGACTTTGTAAGCCAGAAGATCGCCTGGCAGCACAAAGAGACATTCAGATGTACTAGTCATCTGGAGGCCGGGGGCAAAGTAGTGTAGACCCTCTGGCTCAGCAGGTAAGGTGAGTGGTTTATAGTCTGGGAGTCCTGGGTTCAAATCCTGGATGAGACCTTTCCTCTTGGATGCATGCTTTAGCTCCTTCTTTGCTGAGCCATTGGTTGTAATGGTCATCTGGAGGCTTCTCCATACAGAGTAGGTCCTGTGGCATAGCGCGTAAGGTGACTGGTTTATGGATGGGGAGGCCAGGGTTCAAATCCTGGGTGGGACCTGTCCATCTGGATGCCTGATTTAGCTCCTTCTTTGCTGGTCTATTGGTTCCCTTTGTATTTAAGGTTTCAAAGAGACATGCGGTTGTAATGGTCATTGGAGGACGCTGCATACAGAGAAGACCCTGTGCCGCAGTGTGTAAGTCCACTGGCTTATGGTCTAGGAGTCCTGGGTTCAAATCCTGAATGAGACCTATCCTCTAGGATGCATGCTTTAGCTCCTTCTTTGCTGAGCCATTAGTTGTAATTGACATCTGGAGGCAGTTCCATACAGAGTAGACCCTGTGGCACAGCGCGTAAAGTGACTGGTTTATGGACGGGGAGTCAAGGGTTCAAATCCTGGGTGGGACCTGGATGCCTGATTTAGCTCCTTCTTTGCTGGTCTATTGCTTCCCAAGACGAACCCGGGGCTGATGCTAGGCAAACCCCCAAAAAAGGGGGTTGCGGGCTTTTTTTGTCCCATATGGGGACCCCCAAAGATGATGCAAGGGCAAGGTATGGGCAAGGTGCTAGATGGGAAAGACCAGCCCAGAAGTAGATACCTGGCTATCTTAGAAGGGGAGGAGGCCAGATTGGGAACCCACCC